AATTACTTATTATTTTGTTATAAAATAAACTCAAATTTTGAATTTTACGAGAAATTTTCATATTATACTTGTTAAATAAATTGGAGTGTCGCATTACTAAATTAAATTATCTAGCATTAGAAATTCCAACTTTCTATTGAAAATTGTATAACTTTTAAAGCCTGTCAAAATAAAATCAATCAATAAATCGCTTTAAATTTTTACATTTACGATAGCTTCTCCGTTATTGCCTCTTCACTTTAATAATTTAATAAATTAATAGCGATTGATTTATTTAAAATCCCTAGAAAATTTATTTTAGAATTTATTATTTTTATTCAAAATTCCTATAGGACCCCCAGTCAATTTTTTGAAGATTTTTTTAAAACTTTTTATTTTCGATATGTTATTTAAAATAGAAAGTTTTAAACTTTTTATAAATTACTTTAATTAACATTAATACAATAGACTTTAATTTTTTCACTTAATTATCTCAAAACATAAATTTTAAAATGTCGGCATATGTCGATGATTTGTCTAAGTCCAATGTAGAAAGTAATAAAATAAGAGTTCTGTTTAATTGTCAATTACTTGAATATCCACTTACGACTTCAAAAATTTAAACAAAGTTAAAGTAAAATGACAAAATATCCTCAAAAATAAATTTTTAAGATAAATGAAACTATGAAACTAAACATAGTTCTTATCTTTTCAACAGTGATATGGTCGTTTTATGAGTTTTCATCAATAGAAGGTGTTGATCCTAACAAACGTTTGGACAAAGGAAAGGGTAATTTCACTTAAATTGTTTTTAATCCCTTAATAGACATATATTTCTGTTAGCAATGAGATTCTAAATTACATATGTATATGTAATTCTTAAAAGAGTATTTCAATCCATTAATATATCTCCCGAAAATTTTTACATAATTATAAGTTTAAGGTGCGTCAACTTCTCATAACAATGAAGTAAAGTGTAAATGCGGAAAATTTTTCTTGGAACAATTGGACGAATATGTGGAAGTAAAAGGGAGTGATGAAAATGTAATGGAGCTGAAATATACTACCGCACTTATAGGCAGAATTGGATCTGGTAATTATGCCAATGCAAGTTTTAAATACTAAAAATACAATCTCAAAAAGTCAATTATTTATTAGAAACCTGTGAGGGCTTGCAAAAATTCATAATCCCATTTTTTAGTTAAAAAGTTTTTTCTTTTCCAATTTTTAGTTCTTAATAATTAATGCCTGATAAATAAAGTTTATTCAATATTTAAATTCTCTTTTCAATATTTTTTAAGGTTTACCACGCACATTGGTTTGGTGAGAATAATAATTTTGTAGCAGTAAAAATATATCATAAACAATAATCCTCAACAAGAAATTAGAATACTGGAATTTTTTAACAAGTTTGTTGATTCTGAAAGGAACCATATTATTGAAATGCTTGGATGTGAGTATTAATTAATTTTTGTTATTATATTTCTTAACCTGCATTTAAACTTAATTGAAGATCATAACTAAAGATTGACATAAACAGCCCTGATCGCACATATATATTCACTAAAAAGATATTTTTGCATTTGTAAAAAGTTGTGTGTTGTTTTTTACTTTTTTTCTATACATACATATAGTTTTTTGAAAAAAATTTAGTGGGGAAAAAGAAGGAAAGTTTCTTATTGCTCTAGAACTTGGAGGAAAAGATTTGAGAAATTATTATGAAAGAGATCCACAATATGGCAGAAGACATCCAAGATCCAATGAGAAATTTCTTACTAAAATAATAAAGGGAGCAGCCCGAGCAATTGCACAATTCCATCAATGTGATAAAGTTTTATTTTTAAAAATAGTATAATTTAGATGGAGGTCATGGTGATATTAAATACAAAAATTTTGTCGTTTCTCGTGATCATAAACGAAATGCTGATGTTATTGACGTTAAATTGATTGATTTTAACGAATCTTATCTTTTGACGTATTCTGAACTTTTTCAATCTTAATTGCATTAATTTCAGCATAATTACATAGCTTCTGTTGAGCGAATTCAAAGGGAGGACATTAAGAAGTTCGGAGACATGGTTTACATACTATTCAATGAAAAATATCATCAGAGTGCTATTTTATTTTAAAAATATTTTAAAAAAATATTGTTTCTTTTCCTTTATGCGTCCAAAATACTTCAAAGGTATCGCAAATAGTACTTAAGTACAATTACAAAAAATTATTTCTGAACTTTCTAATAATCATAAATCCTATGATACAGTGTGTTAAGAAATTATAACCCCCCTTGAATTTTTTTAGTTTCTTACATTCCCGATGTCGGATTGTTCTGAAATTTATGTATAAAGGGAAGGACAACGTTTATTGTTTTAAAATAAAATGAAATTCAAAATTAATTTTTTTAGTCATACAAGAATTACATGAAATGAACTTCAATAATTTCTCAAAATAGGATCGGGTTATAAAAGTAATAATTGCTTCCAAAATGAAAACTGTCGTCCAAATATACAAGAAATTGTAAAGTTTCTGAATGGCAAGATTAAAATATTTGAATATGAAAAAACCCCACCTCCGCAACAACACGAGAAACAGCATTATGAGACTCAGCAAGTTGAGCATGGGCATTTTGTAGAACGTGATGACAGTCCTCCTCACAGTCAAAGCAAATTTGCATGTTTTGGCTGTTAAATTTGCTTTAAATTAGAGTTGCCCCAGACCTTGTTCTAAAAAAACCATTGACAAAAGCCTGAATCGATCATGTTTTAGTCTTTAAACCCGAAATCCTCTTCAAATCAAAATGAAAATAGTACGACATATCCACATAAAACTTATGGGTAATTTTATTCATATTTCCTCATTTTTTCATGAGGAAATATGCTACAAAACAAAATATAAATCTTACGCCATATCCGACTAAAACTATGGGATGCAACTAGTATTATTTTATTCATATTTCCACTTTTTTTCATTTTTTAATATATTTCAAAAATCTGTAATTAAATTTTATTATTTTTAATTTTAGTAATTAAATCACTACTGTTTAGCAATTTATCATAAAAACTTGCATAAATTTATTCTGGGAAAAAGTTTTTTTTTAGTTTAGTATTTCAATTTACCAATTAGAAGTTGAATACATTGAAACACAGCTAGGTATACTTTCGTCAATTCACAACATCCCCTCATAAACTAGTTCGGTTACAATTAAAACCAAAGCTTAATGTACAATAACAAATTTTTACATCAATACAATAAACAAAAAATGTTAAGATAAGAATTATCACAATTTTACATTTCAACATACTCATCTAAATATTTTTCATTTTTGATTTGTTCTTTTAAAATATTTTAAAACACCATTAGATTTTAAACACCAAACACCTGAGCAGCTTTTCTAAAAATTACACAAAACTGTATAAATTAATTTATTGCCTTCTACATACTTATTTCATCTCGCTTTTAAATTTTATTATTAAATATTAAAAATAAAATTGCTTATAGAATAGCTAAAATTGGCGTAGAGATATTAATTGCTAAATACAATCGAATTTAGTCACGCTTTATTAAAAAGAATGAAAAATATGTATTTTATAAAACAGGGTCCGATCAGTTATTATTTAGAAACTACTGTACTTGCAAATAGACCTCAGTACTTCCAAAATACGTACTTCTAAATCCCAATATTTTTCAATGTTTTTCGTTTCAATGTTTCAATGTTTTTCGTTTTCAATGTTTTCGTTTTCGTTTCAATGTTTTCCTATAAATTTTTGTCAAGAAATATTGCCAAACTTAAAATGATTTAAATATCTCAGATTTTGTTTTGTCTGAAGATCTCTATTTAGACAAAAAGTTAGACTAACACAAACGTTTATCGCTACAATTAAATAAAATCTTTAAAAGGAAGACATTTATATAAAAACACCATTCATTTTTCAAAATAGAAATTTTTAAAATTTTGTTAAGCTGTAACCCAACCCAAATGTAAGTCGCGGAAAGTTTATAAAATAGTTAGATGAAAGATATTTTAAAATAGATAAGAATGTGGAAAACTTAAGAATTGTTAGGCAAAATACCCAATACAGATCAAAATTTAATGGTTTTTAGTTTCAAGCAATGCATAATATCAAACAAAATGAAGGTGTTGTTGACATATTTTCTCGAATTTTTGAAAGGGTTTGAAAAGAAATTTTAACAAATTGTTAGAAAAAAATTTACAATGGTAAACAATTAATTTTTAACCCCTTCAACATAATCCACACAAAAACCGATTTTTACGATTTCGACGACGCTCAAGCTTTTTACGTTTCTCATCTTCAAGTCGTTCCTTTTCAAGTCGTTCTTTTTCAACTCGATCATTTTTCAAACGCTCCATCTCAAGAAGTTCATAACCAAAATATTCAATTTCATCATTGTGAAATTGAACAATTTCTTTCATTTTAGGGCGATCAGTTGGATTATGTTGAACACAAGCCTAATTTTATATAAAAATTTTAAATTAATTTATATTAGATTTAATTATAATGTGTTATTCATTTAATTTATTACCTTTATAACACGATCTAATTTAGTATTAAATTCAGTATTTAAACGATATTCTTCCATTATTTCTATTGCATCACTGTTGTTTCTAGCTGTTTATTTGATAAATATTTTTAATAGTTTTTATAAAAATATATTTGATTCTTGAAAACTTACGAGTTGTATAATTATGGAGGATATAGACCATTATACCAAATGCCCAAACGTCCGCCTCTTTAGATACCTAAATATTGTCAATTGAAGGTTAACTGTGATAAATACCTCTCTTTTTCCCACTTTTTCTGGAGCTTTATACATTTCACCAAAAATTTCCATATATGCTATACAAGACTGTCCCTCCAATACTGCTGTGTTGAAATCTATCAACTTACAATCAATCACATTTTCATCTGAACTTTGTTCTAATGAAACTATAAAATTTTCATGTTTAACATCTCCATGGATTCCATCTAAAAATATTTTTACAAAAAAAAAATAATTATTGTCTAATATCCCCCACATTTATGGAATTGTTCAAGTGCCTGAGCAGCTCCTCTAAAAACTTTAACAAGGAAATCTTCGTTTGCCTTTTCTTTTGCTAAACAGCGTCCAACCCTAATTGCTTTATCAAAATAATCGAATAAATCCATTCCACCAAGTTCTAAAACTGTATACATTACTTTATTGCCTTCAACTTCTTTCATCTCGCTTTTTAATTTTTTAATTAAATTTTATGGTAAAAAATTTTTAACTAAATTAGCCTAAATGGAAGATTTTAATTACTAAAAACAAACTTGAATCTAGTCTCGTCCTCGAGTTTAGACATGTTTTATTAAATAGAATCAAAAATATTATCTAAATAAATTAAATATAAAAACAAGCAACACTTGAAAATCGAGCGACCGAGTTAGAACAATTTTTAAATTTAAAAACCTATACTAATCGGGATAATATCGGCGTGTCTGGTGAAAACGGCAGTGGTGAATTGGGCAGTGAGTAATTTGGGCAGTGAGTGATTTGGGCAGTAAACGTTTTTTAAAAAATAATTTTACACGCAAAAACAATTTGAGTAACGTTAGAAGAATAATTTTGAGTGATTTGGGCAGTAACTGAGAATTTAAATTATTTACATAAAAATTCAAAGAACCGCACATCTTTTTCATTTTGATAACGTTGTAGGTTGATAACGTTGTACAACATTACCCTTTGTTCTAAGTGATAAGTAGATTTAAGGTGTGAAAAATTGAGAAAATAATTCCTATTTTATATTTTTAGGTCTCAAGATAGGTCCAAGTCCAAAATATCTAAAAAAGGTCAAAATAGTTAAGGAAAAATATGTTCAAATTTTGGAGTTACTTTAAGTTAAATAAAAATTTCCGGAATTTTTCTTATCAATTTTAAATAATTTAAATTCTCAGTTACTGCCCAAATCACTCAAAATTATTCTTCTAACGTTACTCAAATTGTTTTTGCGTGTAAAATTATTTTTTAAAAAACGTTTACTGCCCAAATCACTCAGCCCATATCACTCACTGCCCAAATCACACGGCACCAATATCGGAATATTCATATTAATATATGTAGGTAAACTTACTATCCAAACATTTTTATTATGCGATTCCTTTCATTTTCTTCCTTTTTATTCAAATAATCCAAAGCTTCAACTTGTCTTTTTATTCCATCTGAATGTTCAGTTATCATGTTTGATATTTTCAAAGCTACACATATATCCGCAGCTGGCCAATATGCATGTTTAACCTTTAAAGGAAAGAGAAAAATAGAGGCATAATGTTGATTAATTTAGGTGTATCATTTTTATATTTTGTTGAGATTTCAAGAAAAATCTCTAATACTGTAATCATGATTTTTCGAGATATTGGTTTTGAATCTCGATAGAAGGAGGCGAATAATTTAAGCAAACTATAGTTTATTTATTTCACCATCAGGTAATTGTTACTCTTATAGACCCCTTTTTAGGCCAATTTTATCATTGTGCATTCCGGTAATGCTCAATGAACAGACTTCCCTCTTTAATTCCCGTCTCTGTTTCCCTATGATATTCAACCAGACAATTTAGATCTATGAATAAAAAAACTTGCCATTCCAACTCCACTGCTTCCTCCAATCCGATTATCGTTAATTTTTAATTTTATTTCTTTTATATTTTCGTCCATTTTTAAATCATAAATTTTACTTCTACCACATGGACATTTAGCTTGATCTCCGTGAGATGTTGATTCTATTTCTTAAAACAGTCGTTACTTACATTAATAAATTTTTGGAGGCGATCTTATAGTTCAGAGCAGTATTTATAAACTCGTACGTAAATTGAGTACGAGCAAAAAATACGGGTGGTACGAAGTACGAGTAAGAGGAAAAATTTAGCTCGTACTATTAATAGGAAAACTGAAGATTTCATACGATTACATATGTGAGACAGCTAAATTAATAAACAATTTGATTGAAATCACCTTTTCCTCTGTCTGAACTTTTGCCATGCCTTCCACATTCTATTGAGGAAAACTCATAAAAAGACAATATCAATGTTAAGAAGATTAGCAAAATTTTTAATTCCATTTTTCTTTTATCATATAGTTTTAATTTTGGGGATATTTTGAAATTTTATTTTAAGTTTTTTAAAGTTCCAAAATATAGTAAAACTGAGATGTTTTATGTATCGAAATCTAATTTTAATATCTAAATAGTTAGTTTTTTTATATGTAGGGTTTTTGATTTGGCGGTGATTCATATATTATAGGTTTTGTGGTCGGTTAAATAAAACTGAACCAAAAATAATATTTCGATTAACTGAAATTGAACCAATAAACCGAACCAACAATCTGAATTGAACCAATAAACCGAACCGACAATCTTCGGTTTTTTGGTTCAATTCGGTTTGAAACCGACAACCTGCTTATAGACTACTTTTTAACTTTAACCTTTAAATTTTTGTAAATTTCTAATTTATTTTAAAACTGTTTTAAAAACACCTTTTCCTTTTCTTACTTGAATTATTTAGTAGAGTTTCACTGGAAGTTCCGGTTCCGGAAAGTTCCAGTGTTTTTTTGATTCCGGTTCCGGGATTTTCTTTTAATTTTAAGTTTTCGCTTATGCCTAGCGCTTTAAAAATGTCGGGATAAAAATGTCGGGACCCGTGTCGGGATCCGGGATCGGGATCACAATTCCTAAATCCCGATCCCGGGTTTTTCTCCAAATCCCGATACCGCTGAACTCTAGTTTAAACATAAACTTTTAAAACAAATTCGTTGGGATTGAGAATAAATGGGATTGAGACCGAGGAACAAACCAAGTGTGGAACAATAATGTGAATAAATTATCTTCGCCCCTTCAAATCATTCTACTTATAAGAGCTTGAGTATTGAATACTGTCTGGCCGGAGTATTTTATATATTTTGCCTTCGTATTCCGCCTATTCACATCTAATTGTATACAGATTAGAGTTCGGACCCGGGCACGAGCGAGTTTTCCGGGCCCGGTAATCCGGAAACCGGATATTTTGATAAAATCGGTTTCGGGGTATTCAGCCCGGACCCCTCCCGGGGGGAGCAGCACTCCCCGTGAGACGCGTGCCCAAAAAATTCCAAAAAACGTCTTCCAGAGGCAGGATGTCATTTAGTATATAGAGGCACTACCTAAATAGATGAAATTTTTCTCAAAATTTTTTATCGGCCGTCAAAAATTCCATAAATTTGTACTCGCGGCTCAAAAAAAGAAGACTTTTACTTAAGGATCTTACAAGATTCAAAAAATTCCGCCTGTGGCGCAAATAAGTCGGTATTTAGGCTGCCAAAATCCCAGTATTTCCCAAATTTTGATTATATTTTATAGAAAGTCTTCAAAGTTATATCTGCTCGTGTCTAGAACACAACAAATTAACCAAAAAATTGCCTTATGGACCAAAAATAGTCTTAAGTCGTGTTACTGTTTGGTCTTGAGTCCAGGGGTCAGGTCTTGGTCTTGGGTGTTCATGATCTTGAGTCTTGAAAATTTTCGGTCCTGTAAGTATCTATTCTCTATTATTTATAATATTAATTTGATGGTCCACGTGAAAATTTTTTTGATTGTGTAAACAGATTTTTTATTGAAACGAAAATTTTCTAAAGTCGTAAACAATAACAATGCGTTGAAAAAAAGAAAATAACATACTAAGTAAGAGAAAAAGATTTTCCTCTGACTCTTTTAAATTTTAAATGTAAACATCGAGTGCCCAGACAAAATGGTACACAACTACAAGGTACAAAAGACATAAACAGTTTTTGTAGTACAAAAGACCTAATCAGTTTTGCTGGTTCAAAAGACCAAAGTTTATATAGTACAAAAGATCTAATCAGATTAAATAGTACAAAAGACCTAATCAGTTTAGAAAGTACAAAAGACCTAACCAGTTTAGATAGTCCAAAAAACCTAAACAGGTTTAAAAGTACAAAAGATCTAACTGGTTTAAAAAGCACAAAAGGATTAAAGAGTTAAAATGACAAAAGACCTAACTAGCTTTAAATAACAAAAAGTCTAACCACAGTAAAAAATACAAAAGACTAAATTGAAACGATAGATTAAAAATATTGCATAATCGAAAATGTTAGTTTTTTTAAATTTGGATTTGAAAAAATAGAAATTCAAAATTTATGAATTTACTGTTTAAGGAAATATGAAATAGTCTAAGTCAAAGACTAAAAAAGTATGAGAGATTGATTAAGATTAGATAAAAGAGCGGAAACTCAGGAAAAAATGTTGAGGAAAGGGACCAGAATGTTAGAGGTACGTCATTGATGAGAGGCAAAGAACAGGAAAGAACGACCAAAGAACGACCAAAGGAATTTTCAATTTTTTGTTCTGAAAACAAAAAAAAACAAATAAAAAACACTCGAACATGAAAATTTCTGAGTCGGCGGCCGCCGCGAGCGAAGTTAGCACGGCTGACACGAAGCACAAGGATCTTGCTGAGAAAACATTCTGGGTTTTCACAAAACTAAGCTTATCAAATTTACAGCAAAATAGATTTGATACAATTAATAGTGATAAAATCAAATACAAAAAGATTGTTGAATTAAGAGAGATATTAAGTGATTTGAGGGATTAATAGAGAATCAATGTATTTTTAAAAAGAAAAATTAAAGGTTTGAGGATTTAACACAGATAACGGGTTTGAAGGGGTCAACAGAAGGCAAATTAAGGACTTTGGAGACTTGACACATAGATTATTTAAAAAAGAGGATTATTATGTGATGGTCTTTAGAAAAACTAAGAGATTCGTGTTGGTTTTGGGGGATTAACAATATCTAATTGTTTTGTTTGATAAAAGAGAACAAGAATATAAAATGGATTAAGGGAGTAAATGAAAAATTTTTAGGATTAATATGCAGGGGTGGTTTCAGAGAAGTAATAATATTATTAAGCAGTTAAAAAGGGATATCTGAGATTTCGGGGGCGATTTGGCCAGAACGAGAGTTAGCGGAAGTTTAGGGCAGTTTAAAATGTATGTTTGGGGATAATGACAACGGGGACGACAGAAGAAAAAGTATTGGAGATTTGAGAGGGATATCGAGGATTCCTGGATATCGGGAAATATTAGAGCATCAAGAGGAGAGAAGAGCGATAAATGAGGATTAGAGGATTAGAAGAGATTCGAAGGTAAAGAAAGGATATCGGGGGTTTGATGGGTTTACAGGGGATATCGGTGAATAAATATGTAAAAGATAAATATAGAGGATAAAAATGCCGGGAGAAGTGAGTGATTATGTAAAATATGGCGATTTTTAAGAGATTAAGAAGAATATTGAGGTTTTAGGGGATTTTTAGGATAAAGAAATTTAGAGAATTAAGAGATGGGAATAAAGAGATTAACAAGCGTTTTGATGTAAAAAGACAGAAATAGTACAATTTACGGAAATAAAGCGTGAAGGATCTCACGGTTTTCGTGTTGAAATAGATATCAGGGTATATGTATGTATGAGAGATAAAGGGGATATGTATAAATATTAATGAGATGACGCGTATTTAAAGCGATAAAGAGTTATATTGGGTGCTTTTGGGGAAAATAGTGGTAATTCTGTTTTTGGGGAACAAAAAGCGGAAGAGTACACAGGTGATAACATAAACACGAATTCCAGGGATAGAGTCATTTATCCGAGTTTATTTTCGATGAGAAAAAGAATAAAAGCAAATTAAGACGGAAAAAGGTGGAAGAGATCAGGTGAAAAAAGAACCAGAAAAGGATCTGTTCTGTTGTAAGATCATCCAACAGTAGATCAGTTTTGTTTTTGGTCGAGAAAACAGAGGAAGGAAAAGAGAAAGAGATTAGTTACATAAAAAGGCGAAAAAAGATCGGAGTTAGCTCAAAGGAAGGTAGATCAAATTGCGATTTGATTAACAGTGCTATGCGTGATTTGGAGTAAAAAGATGAATGACGTATGATTTTGTCCTGATACCAAAGATAAAGAAAACAAAAGTGCGATATAGGTGTATTTTAGAATAAATGATATCAGGCGATTATGGACAGCAGAGAAATGAATGCAGTGCTTCCAATTGGAAAAGGTTTATATCGGAGATTTGAGGGAATAAAATTAAAACAGAGAAAGTGGGGTATAATAAATGCTTCGAGAATTTGAGGTGTTCAAAAATAACGAGGATTTAGAAAAAGTGAGGGTGAAAAATTAACAGTTTAAGTGAGAGACAATCCTGAATTCGAGAGAAAGGAGTCGGACGAAAGGGTGAGAAAACAAGAGCAGGGAAGCGGCATAAGAAGCGACGGGGTCCGTAAAGCCGAAAGGTAACTAACAACTACAATAAGTTTTTCAAAGCTTTTAAAGAAGGTGAGAATAGACAACGAGGGATTTGGAATCCAAAAGGGAGGTCCAGGATTTGGTGAGATTAAGAATGATTTAGCGATTTGGTGAATATATCGTGTGTTGGGGCGGATTAAAATAATATATGGGAACTGGTGTTAGAATCGTTCAATTGAGGGGTATCGAGGGATCAAGCTATTAAAATATATTTATGAAATATATCAAGGAATGTTGGAGGATATCAGTGTATTATTGGAATAAAATAAGTATCGGGGGATAGAAGAATGGTTTCTGCGAGAATAAAGAATAATATCTATGGATTTGTAAATTATGAGGAGTCAAATCGGGGTTTTAGGGGTTAAAAGGTGATAACGGAGGATTTAGAAACTAAAGAGTGATATATAGTAGTTTTTTGTGTCAAAGGGAAATAGCTGGAATTTTGGGAAAATGTGACCTGGGAATTGGGGGTTGGGGAAAAATGTTTTCGGATGTTTGGGAGGATAAAGAGTGTATTTGAGAGGAGGATAAAGAGTGATATAAAGAATGATGTCAGTGGATATAGGTTCAAACGACATTCGTTATTTAGAGCTATTAACAGGGATATTAGCGGATTAGTGAAATTGGAGAATTTGGGAGTGATTAAGGGTTATAGCAAGTTGGGGATAAAGGGAGATATCTGGGTCTTCGAAAAGTAAAAAGGATATGGTGATTTCAGGAATTTGGGGTGTTATCGGAAAATAATGTAATTGAAATGAATATCAGGGGATTTGCGGGGATTAGTAAAACCAGAGGATTGGGAGTGATTAAGGGGTATATCAGAGATGTTGGGGAAAAAGGTGATATCGGGAATTCGGGAAAATAAGGAGTTATTCCCTTGGTTTGGTGAATCGGAGTTAAAAGAAATTTCGGAGGATATATTGGTTTTAGAGATGATTTAACGGAGGACTTTGGTAACAAAGGGTAATATCATGGATTTGGGGGATTGATTGATATATTAGAGGATTTTGGATTAGGATGACGGTGAAATTAAAGGTTAAATCTAAGGATCTAAGGTTAAGGTTTTTGAACATAAAAGAATTTAGATAAAAGAATATAAAAATGTGTAGTACGAGCGTTAGGACGCCGCGAAGCGGCGTCCTAACGCTCGTTAACTATACTAAGTTAATACTTTTTGTTTACAAATTTTCATTCTTAAAAAGTGAATTTTTATTGAAACGAAAAATTTTCTAAAATAGTAAACAATAAAAAGACAACAAAAAATTAGAAATAATATATGAAAGAGAAGTAAAGATTAGCGTCTATCTCTTTCAAAATTTTAAATGTAAACATCGAGTGCCTCGACAAAATGGTTCATAAACAAAGGCGTACAAAAGACCGAACTGATTTAAAAGTACAAAAGACATAACTGCTTAAAAAGTATAAAAGACATACCTGCTTTAAAAGTACAAAAGATCTAACTGCCAAAAAATTAAAGGGCTAAAGAGTTAAAATGCACAAAAGGTCTAACTAGAGTAAAAGTACAGAAAATAAAAGGAGAAAAAACAAAAGACAAAAGTTATTTGTTCATTCAGTAATTTGGATTTGAACAAATTAAGGGACAAAAATTTTGAATTTTCTGAAAAAGGAAATAAGCTGAAAAGGAAATAAGCCAAAGACTTAAAAAACGCGTATGAGACTAAATAAGATACCTAAATTAGAAGTGCGAACACTTTGAGGCCAGCAAATGGTTAGGGTTATTATACGTCATTAAGTGAGAGGCAAAGATCAGGACAAACCGATCAAAAAATTTTTGGTTCTGAAATCACGAGAAACAATTAAAAGACAAATTCAACGTGAAGACTTTGAGACCGCGGCCGCCGCGAGCGAAGCGAGCACGGCCGTTGCAATGCACAGAAATTTTTCAGCAAAGACATTTAGATTATTCAAAACTAAGCATAGCAAGATATCTAAGGGCTTTGCGTAAACAGCTAACAATGCTTTCATGCGTTTATTAGTGAAAACGAGATAAGTGACTGAATAACGTGTTTGATGGATCCATTTTGCTAAAAAGATTTGATGAGTTAAGAGAGATATCAAGGGATTTGAGGAATTAATAGAGAATCAATGTTCCTGAGCAAAAAGAAAAATTCAGGTTTGCGTATCTAACATGAGGAGTTTGAAGGGATTAAAAGGTAAATCTGGGACTTTGAAGAAAAAACAGAGAGACCAGTGATATGTTGAAAAAAGGAGTTATTCTTTGATTAAGGGGTTAGTCTTTGATTAAGGGGTATGCCTTTGATTAAGAGGTATGCCTTTGATTAAGGGGTATGCAGAGATTTCAGACGTAAAAGATTATATCGGTGATTTTAGGGAATAATGTTGCAACATAGAAAGTGACGACAAATAAGTGCGTCGGGAATTTGAGGCTTTAAAAATATCGAGGATTTAAAGGATTAAAGGATATAGATATTTGGAGTAATAAAATGAGCGTGAAAACACCAGAAAATGAGGAAAAAGGGCCAGTTGAAACGGTAAGAAAAAAAGATCAGGGAAGCAGCATATAAAACTAACAACCACAATAAGTTTTTCAAAGCATTTTAAGAAAGTTAGAATAGACCACGAGCCTTATCCGTGTCCGGAAATTTGGGGAGAGAACATTCGGGGAGTGGATATTTGGGCAGAGAGACAGAGTTGGGGAATTATTAACAGGAATATTAGGGAATTTGTGGGGTTTGTAAAAACGGCGGATTGGAGTGATTAAGAGGTAAATCAGCAAATGCTGGGGATAAAAAAGATATCAGGGTTCTGGGAAAACAAAGAGTTTTTCCCGTAGTTTTGCTGAATAATGAATAATAAAGGAGCAAAAGGTATTTCGGAGGATTTAGGATGATAAATGTTAATATACGGGACAGGGATGTGCGCCATGGCGTTTGCCGTCCATTTTTGGCCGATTTTTGGCGTTTAGCGTTTGGCGTGATTTTCGTTTTTTTGCGCGCCAAACGCCAAAATTATACACCCCTAATGATGGAATTTTTTTAAAATAAATGGGAGAAGGGATGATCGAGAAATAAACTTTTCTGCCTATAGTCTTCCAAAATTCTGAAAATTTTCGCCTGCGGCGCATAAAAAAGAAGAAATCTGGCTTCTTGGCCTTCCAAAATACTCAAAATTCAGCATGGTAGAAAAAACTTTAGCATGGCAGAAAAAACATTAGCCCGTCAAACATATACTCTATCCAAGACCTCTGATATTCTCATTACCAGGGTTGCGCCCCGACCCCAACTAACCCCGACCCCCGACATTTTTAGACCGTCCTTCAAATCCATATTAAATTCGAAGAGCAAATCTCTTAATCTCTCGATATCTACAAGTCTATGAATTCTTCGTCTCCCTCAAATTTGGTTCTGTGATTTTCCCTATTTTCCTAGATTTTTTTATAAAAACGATTTCTGATTCTTGGCAGCGTGAAAATACAAAAATTTTCGCCTGCGGCGCTAAAAAGATATGTCCTCTGATTTTTTAAGCCTTTACATATTTTAAAAATTTTGGCGTTTGGCGGTTTGCGTTTGGCGTGTTTTAAAATTTTGAAAAACTGGCGTTTGGCGCGCCACGCGAAAATTTTGGCGCACATCCCTGATATGGGATTTGGCGATGATTTATTGGAAGATTTGGGGAAAATGGTAATATCAGGGATTTGGGAATTGAGGGGTTTTTCTATTTAGAACATTGAAAGGTGTAGAAAGAGCGGTTGGACGCCGCGAAGCGGCGTCCAACCGCTCGTGTATATAGAAAAAGAAGCTTGAAAGCATAAGCATTTATGTATGACATTAGACATCCGTTTGGCCTATTCCTCGGTTCTCAATCCCATTTATTCTCAATCCCAATAAATTTATTTGAAAAGTTTATGTTTAAACATGAACATAAAAGAAAACTAAAACTGAAATATCAAGTCAAAAATAGTGTTTCACCAAATAAGTATTGAAATTTAAAACTTTGACAATTTCTTAGAAATTAAAAAATTTTTAATAAAGAAAATTAAGGAGGAATCGACTAAATTAAATAAAATGAGAAGGGTAGCGATTCCTCTCTCCCATTTTTGACTATCGCAGCCTCTGTATATGTGTAGGGAGAAGTACACACAAACAGGTGATATGCCAACCTTATAATTTTATTCAGATTGTTGGGAATGGCAAAGGAGAGAGTGATAGAGAGAAAAAAATTTAAAGTCAATAATTAACCTTTTATTTTAATTTTTAAATGTTTAATATTTTTAAATTTATTTATTTAAATTAGTTATTTAAAGATTCTACTGAAATTCCAATCGTATTTGTATCAGATTAGACCTTTCCCCGCCTCCAGTGTGCAAAACATGCAAATACCTATATATCAACTCCTTGCCATAAACGGCTGTGAGCAAACTTCAAAATTTTTTACTGATTTTCAGCTTTGAAATGCCGTTCTACTCCCTAAGTTTCAGCACAAAAAGTAATTCCACATGAGTCAATTAATCATAATTTTGTTCAGAACTTAATAAAATGTGTTTGGACTCATAAAGTTCGATTAGCATTTCTAACTTTTCCAAGAATTACCGATTAAGTTTCATATTACTAAAAATTTATTTTTGATTTTAAGTCACTACCTATCATCGTTATACATACATATTAGAAGTTGTAATCAAAATTATGAACAAAAATTTGTCTTCTTCAACCCGACTTTTTGGCCGTCCGCCTTCCGTTTACCATTTCTTACTGTCTTCCACCTTCTGTCTTCCGCTTTTCAAAATACAGCAGGCACGTCTATTACTCAAAAAATTCCCTTAGAAAATTGCCTCTAATGTCGGCCAGACTAACGCTCATGCCTACGTTTTAAAAATTTTTTATATTGATTTGACAAGTCTATAGCAATTTTATAAAAAAATTTTTTTATATGCCCTTTTAAATTTAAATCGGCATTCCTTTTAATTTTCAAAACATAATTTTTAAAAATTTAAATCTTTAACAACCTTGACTACCTGCTCCAGAATTTTCAGAATTTTTTATCAAATATTCCTGAAGTTATAGTCGATGAACCTCGAAAAATTAGGCATTTTTCAAAAAATCAACATTTTAGGCCACAACTTCCGAAATTCTTGATCAAAAATTTTGAATATTTGGAGAACCTAGATAAAGGTACGAGAGCTTTCAGATTTTTAAAATTAGGTCTGTTACATTTATGATTAGATGTGTTTTTAAAATACTTTTCAGTTATTGTCTCTAAATTAAATCAAAAACTTAGAAGTTTCTAAAATTTACATTTGCCAAAAAATGCTAGATAACAATTAGTAATAATTGTAAAATAATAGTGGAATAAAATGTATCAAACAAATTTGAAATAACAAAAACAAGACATTATAATTTAAAAATAAAGATTAAAGGTTGTTTGTTTTTATTTCGTTTTTGTGGCTGTTTTTGTCGAAACAATATTTTTTAGTTTTTTTTCGTTGAAGGATGGGCTGCCGAATATGTCGCTAAAATGGTCCCCGATTGTTAATGGAGAAAATTGTAGAGTAAAATTCGAATTAGAAATGAGTATTGTGGGGCAGTTTATAAAGCGGGATAGCTCTGATATCTCAAAATCGCTTATTCGTATAAAAGTTCCTCGAACACGTTTTAAATTTTTTGTTATACCCCTAACTGTTTGTTGGCTAAATCCTATACGCTACTTTTTAAAGCTAATATGAGCAAGTATTTACTACAGTATAGTTTCGTTTTTGTGGGGAAGGTTGTTAACACGCTGTCGAATGTTTAGAACACAGCACCAGGAAAAATGGAAATTAAACATAGACAAAATTGTTTTATAATAAACGATTTTCTTCAATTTCTAATTGTTAGTTTTTTGAGCATTTCACTCAGTTCATATTCAAAATATTCAATTTCTCCGTTGAGAAATTTAACAATTTCTTCCATTGAAGGGCGATCAGTTGGATCATATTGTACGCAAGCCTGTAAAATTATTTTTTAACAACTTCTAACCAAATTCTTTTCTAATCGTTACATTGAACTCCTTACGTCATTTATTACCTTTATAACACGATCCAATCGTGTATTATATTTAGTATTTGATCGGTATCTTTCCGCCATCTCACACACCTCAAAATTAGCCTCATCTGTTTATTGTATAAATATTAGTTTATAATTAAATTTGTAAATTTGCTTGCAATAAATAATAAAATTAAAGTTGATTTAGTAATCGGGAAACATATGTAGAGAATGCTTTCGTTTTCTAAAATAGTCTACCACAAGCTTAGAATAGGCAGATAAATACAACGACTAAATTTTTTATGTAACAGAATCAAAGCAAATACGTGACCCCTAGAATGTCAAAACTGTTTAACGGATTATTAAAAAATATATCATTACTCTGGTATATAAAATATCAAAACTCTGGAGTCGTTTTACTGATTGAACCATGAAGTGCAGAATTTCAGGTTGTGGAACCATTATAAAAATTTTTTGCAGCCAGTTAAAAACTTTTTGCCTTCCAAAATTCCCAAAAAAAGTGTTATAATTCAGCGATTTTTATATAAATTTTCGCTTAACTTTATTCTCAACAAAAAATTATACCGCGAGAAGGAAATAATCATAATTAAATTCAAAATATTTCACGTTAGGTTAAGTTATTCAATAAAAAGAAACCCCGTTGTTCTCAACGCACCCAACACTGATAAAAACATGAATACTTACGTTTTATAAAATGGAAGAGTTCGAAAACCATAACGCCAAAAGCCCAAATGTCAGCCTTTTGAGTTACCTAAATGAGCTTTATAATGTAGGCAAAGCTGCACCGAAATTTTGATTTTAGGATTTTCAGATCTAATGGCCAACCTAATCCCAAATAAAATACCTCATTTGTGCCTTTTATCTCAGGAGCTTTGGTTATTTCAGCAATATATTCCATATTTTTTATAGGTTTCATATCCTTCACCACAGCCGTGTTGAAATCTATCAATTTACAATTAACTACATTTTCATCTGGACCCCGATTTAATGAAACAATAAAATTTTCGTATTTAATATCTCCATGAATTGCATCAACTATAGAATATATCGTATATAATATTAATTAAAAAACCGTATTTGCTCTAATTGAATGACAGTCATTCTATTTTACAATACCACAGAAATTTGTCATTCAATTAGAGAGGTCATTCAACTAGAGCGGGTCATTTTATTTTTCAATAGCCTCAAGAATGGGTCATTCAATTAGAAGGTTCATCCAAATAGAGGAGTCATTCAATTAGAGCAAATACGGTAATATTCCTACATTTATGGAATTGTTCGAGTGCTTGAGCAGCTCCTCTAATAATTTTGATAAGAAGGTCTTCATGTGTTCTTTTCTTTATCATACTTCCTCTAACTTTAATCGTACTATAAAAATACGAACCCAAATTCGCCCCGCCAAGTTCTAAAACAATAAACATCTCTTTACCATTCTCTGTTTCTTTACTCTGGCTTTAAATGAGTACTATTAAATACCATAGTTAAAATTAAATAGGTTTACACATTTTTTTCATTTTTATTCAAGTTAACCCAAAGAGACATTCATACTTTTTCATAAAGTATGAATGTGAGCGCTTATTTAAATCCGTCAATGGGTACGAAGCGTTTTATCAAATTTTATTTAAATTTATATGTATTTGCTTTCAATTCAATAAAATTCCCCGCTGAGTGCCCCGTGAGAAGCTCAATGAGAACCTCAATCCGTTCCTGAATGCAAATTACCTGCAACTCCCGTTAACCGTAGAATTGATCACTATCTTAAAATTCACCCTAATTTAAATTTAATGGATCGCTTTATTACCGAGCCGAATTATAACACATTCGATCCCACTCGTTTGAGTTTAAATAGAAAGAGAGATTAATTTAATCGAAGTCGAATTTCTAATATGCAGAAGACATATACAGTTCAACAAAAATTGAAAAGCATATACGTTTATAT